CCACGTACTCGCAGAGGCAGCCTTGTGTGGAGAAAATATGAGCGGAATAGGTTCAGCAGAGCAGTACTATGCAGTTTTGCATTGTGCACAGTGCACGAGGTATTCAAGTGCTTGATGCCTCCAAGTGGAGTCAATATGCAAAGAGCGCTGTTCATTTAAACTGGGCGGTTTATTTCACCCATATTCACGCCCCCATGGAGATGACAAAGTGTAATGTCCAGTATAGCCTCATGGCTCTTGACAGGGGCTGTGTGTATATACGATGTCCCCTGATTAAACAGTTCAAAGTTAGCGCTCTGTGCTGTCTCTTTTTCCACTGTCCTTGTCCTAAAGCGAAATTATATTTTCTAATGCTCCTTTCATTGCTTTACAAACTGGCCCGATTAAGATAATTGTCTGTTGCAAATGGACTGTCGTGGAAATTACTGCGTCTAATTATTGGATTAGCACCATGATACTGAGTGCTTTTAAGAAGTTGCCTGTAACTTCTATTTTTACGACGAAAAAGAATATTTCTAGGAAGACAGCACTTCGCAGTTAAGGGAGACGCGGTGCCACATCTTTAAGATGCTTAATACAGAAACACAAATAAGACTATTTGAAGCATGATTTATTGCTGTAAGCATTCGTAATTGAGAACTTGTGAAGCAAAAATGTAACATATTTGTCGTTCGCCTTTCTTTTTTTCCTTTTTTTTTTATTGGCAAACAAATACATGTCGAGTAATTCCGGGGACATTGAGTCCAATTGTTAATTCAAGTGGCTAACCTGTGCAATTCTTTTGAACTTTTTAATTCTTGTTGAAATCACACATTAACAATCTCCCTTCACGAAAGGGACTTTTTTTAGACCCATACATCTTCGTGTTTTTCCAAGTGTGCCTGCTTTTATATTTTTAAAAATATGTTATCGAGATAAACCATTCAGTTGAAAGTTACGACGCGTCCTGTCCAGTTCTCCCTTCGTTTTCGTCCGTGTTGTTTTGGCGTATTACACCGTGATGCAAAACCAACCAGCCCAAGTAGCCATCCGTCTTTCTTTTCGGCTATGACAGTTCGGTAAAAACGATGATTGTTCCTCTCCAACGCCAATATTAAGAAGCGAAGACAAATTTTTTTGCAACCTTTAGCGCCAAATATTGCAAACCAGTTCGCATTATATTTCAATTTTCAGGCAGTGTCCACTGGTCAAGCACCGAATTCCCACAATAAAAAAAAAACTTTTTTTTTTAATAGTGATTGTACAGGAACGGGGAAAATATACAGAATGTTTGATCCCGTATCTCTTGCATTTTGTACAACATAGCAGATTACGTAATAATTGTGTCATTTATCTATTTCACAACTTTGTTCGGAGGATCACCTGGTACGAAGTAGAAGCATTTTCACTGAGGTTGGGAATTTTTGAGATGAGGGTTGCAAAACGTAACAGTAAGAGCGTATGCTCATCTAATTCACAAGCAGTGCGTAAATCTATCCTGCTCATACGTATAGCTTCGTCAACGTCAATGTCCGGATTATCCTGTCATGTGATGTAAGGTGCTGTCAACCTGGCGGCACTCATCATACATCATCTCTAAACAAACTCCCCAGTTAAGAAGAAAAAAAAGAACGCCGTCATCTTCGAGTTTTGCTATGTTAGACGCAATGTATTGCAACATGCGCATGACAATTAGGCACGCGCCGATTTGTAATAATTAGATTAGAAGTATTGAAACCAATGCATCTTCTTTTTTTCACAATAAATTGGCTCATCCACCTTGTATCCCATTCGCTTCGACCAGTGTTTAGTAGCAAAGCAAAGTTTCCACCTTAATATTTGATTGTGAGAATAAAAAGACCCGCGATCACACAACCTGGCATGTGTCAAGATAAAGCGAAATCATTAGTTAAACTCATCGACATCGCCTCTGTTTTCCCTTTCATCAACAACAGATGGCATAATCACGAGCAGTGAGCTTTAATGTTACATAACACAGATTTCCCGCTCCCTCGACGCCAACGCAATCAAAACGAATCGTTCCAGATTAAATAATTATGTCATCGAGTGTCAACCAGGCGTGAAAGTAACGACCGCCGAAACGACTGACCGATTACGAGCAGATAAAAAAAGACCATTTGCCCCAGGCACGTGCCTTTCACCCCTCCTCTGTCCGGACAAAACCGGCACTAAACCTAACCGCTACACGTGTTTCCAGCCAGCCAAAAAGACGCACGGCAATGTGCCTCTCCGCCAAACGGGCCATAAATATCCCGAGCCCCCCCCCCCCCCCCCCCCCCTTACTGCAACAGTCGGGGGGGGGGGGGGGGGTGCTCCCGGCGTTGCCAGCACACGCTTCCCGCCCCCTCACCCCAAGAATATCCGTTTTAGAACCTCGGAGCTTACTTACTAGCTCGCCAAGCGCGGCCGTTTCCTCGCACCAAATCTTCCAGAAAACCCAATAGTACACAAGACGACTCCCCCCAGCTTCTTCCGATCGTAAACTACACCGCCCGACAAAAGAAAAACGAAAACGACGTCGAAATGGACACTATACACTCACTTCAGCGAGCGGCGGCGGTCAAAGCGAAAAGACGGAGTGGCAAGACAAGCCGCCCGCGGTTCGCAATAATTTATGTGTCACCTCCGCCGAGTACATCCAGAGCGGCACCAACTGTTTACGGTAGTTCTTTATGGCCTGCGAAGTGATTACTGCCCGGCCGATTTCGGATCGAGGGGTGCAGAACCTCCCCCCCCCCCCTCCTCCCTTCACCCCCTCCCTCTTGCTCCTCCATTCGAACCCGCGTCGTTTAGAAATCGGGCGTACGATGGAGAGGCACCAAGATCCGCAGGTGTCTATGGTTACCGAGTTTTGATATTCGTGTCGGTCGCCTAAAACTCATTAATCGGCGAGGCGCGCGCGAGCGGGCGCGCGCGTCTACTCCAGTGCCCTGCGCGCACTCTCCCGCCAGCGATAAGACTAATGTGGGAAAGCCCCGGCCGGGGCGGCGCTTAGGGTCGAGATTTATTGTTATGGCCCTCTTTGTAATGCGCGCATGCAGGGAGAAGAAGACGGGGGCCGACCACGTCGCCGCGCTCACGTGGCTGCGACCACGTGCTTCGTGTTGATGTCGAAGACGACGTGCACGAACGTGAGTTGACGGGGACGCCCTGGTGTTCCCTCGATAAGGTTATCTAGGTAATATAGGATAACGCGGTAGAGTTTGTCATGACGTTCGCTGGCTGCGGCGGTTCCTTAACTAGACTTCTCGGAAGTTTGTACAGATAAGACAGCCGTTCGGATTTATTTTTTGCTTCTTCTCTTTTCTCTGATGACGTGTATTTTTACAGCAATTGTGATTTCCCTCGTTCAATCGGGACGGCTTTTCGATCGCTATCTCGCTGTCTCGAGGCAGTTGCAGAACTTCCTGTATAATTCTATATATTTAGAGAGAGAGAAAAGAAAAAAATATTATATAGATTGAAATTCACTATCAAGTTTCAAGGATTCAGCCTGTCATATTGAATAAAAACCTCCAACAATATGTAAAATAAATTGAAAATCAAGGTATATAATATGCCTGATATATCTGGTGAACGGCAAAGTTTAATTGCTCCATGGAAGGTTTGCCGTCCAAATTGAAACTACACGGACTCTATCGCTTGCTTGCTTTTAAAGAGCTGTATTCGAGCACAATTGTTCAATATTTTTCACGTAGTTAATGGCGGTTCTTCTGCACCCTTCTGCGCGGTTTTTTAAGCTGTCAGTCGTCCGGTATATACCCAAGATCGCCAAAAAATGCGCACAGACGGAAGGAACTCGCAGTTACACAGGTTGCAGGCCCGGGGCGCCTTAATCTCATCGATAAAAGCCATCGCTCGCCAAATCGCTTTACTGCTCCTCAACATCGAACGGAAGAAGCAGAAAAGCCCCTGAAGTTTATTTTTGAAGCGTCACTTTTATAGACGGACTCGCGTTGTTCGTGAGCGACACCGTCGAAAAGCGGGTGCAGGCTGGTCGCCCTGCCAGCGAGCTGGGCGGCTCGTTTTAACGACGCATTTAAATTTAGATGGGGGAACTCTCCCTATCACGGGGCCCAGGCGGGAGACTGTTTTCCTCGAAGGCCTCGGACGCATCGAACGTCGTAGTCGCATGGTCGACCGTGTGTAAACGCGGTATCAGCTGCTGAGCTAAATAAAAGTGCCAAGACGACCGACGCTCATAATACCGATTCGTAACCTTACACGCTCCACACATCTCCCGAGAGCCCTAAGGCTGTCAAAGCTGCCACTGAGATGTGGACACGAAGTGAGTTTGCGTTCGGTGCATTGTCACGATAAGGCCGAACCTTGGGATAGTGTTCAGCCTTAACATACTATGTCTGGCGTTCTTGCGTTGTGTATGATGTTTGAATGGTAAATTTAGCGTTCATTCGATGTATCACCTGGCAAACATGGCAACTAGAAACTTCCAAGCATCGTCAACTTGCCCGCTCGGCGTTATACGGTGCAATGTTATGTCATTTCCAACTCGGGAAAAAAAAAACCGAAAACCAGAGTGTGACTTCCTTGCGTATCCGCTTCAGCACCCGCCGTCTCGTGAAGACCGATTCTGCCCGGTGCTAGTTTTCCTTCTTTTTCTTTTTTTGTTACTTCAGAAACGTTTTATCCACGCTCTACGCCTCTAGACTAATTTTGCGCGCTCATTTCACGGGAGCATTACCTCTGGAAACCGTTGCGACTTCCAAGGTCTCGGGGAGGTTGTCTGCTCGGAACTACCCGAATGACGGCTCTAGCGAAATACGTATGGTACGTGTGTCATGTCGCAGCGAAAGTTTTGTTAACTGTAACGCACTTGCCCCATCGAGTGAGAACCTGCGCGAGGCTACACCCCGTCCCGGCGACATGCCCCACCTCGAGGAGCATACCCTCGCGCACATGTTTGGTCGTGGTCTGTACGCAGCACACTTTCCGAGCGGCAGCCGAACCAAAGAGCCGAGTGGCAATGGGTGGTTGCGTACCCTGCGAGGACAATGGGTGCTCACCGGCGTTGACGTGCGCCTTCTTCATCCAGGGGTAGATGACGGGTTGCCCCGTCTGCGAACAGTCCGACGCCGGCACGGCGCCCCCGGGGCTGTGCATGGGTCCCACGTGGGGCGACTGCGGCGAAGGCCGAGGCATGGGCGCCGAGGCCGGCGGGGGCGACGGCGACCGCTGCAACGGCACGGTGGGCTGCGGTCCCCCGACGTACGGCGGGCTGTGGCTGCCGGCGCCCGCATGTTCGAGGGCCTGCGGCCTGGACAGCGGACTGAGCGTCGTCTGCGTCACCGAGCATGAGTGCTGGTAGTAGTGCGGCGAGGCGCTGGACACGTAGCCGCCGTTCTCGGCGCCGTACGGCGGAGCGGCGGCTCCGCCGAAGGCGTACGGGTGCGCGGCCGGGTGGTGGTGCGCCGGGGCCCCGTAGTAGTCACCGGCGCCGTGGCTCGGAATGTAGTTTCCCTGCGAGTACTCCTCCGAAGGTGGGAACTTGGGGTCCACGTAGGACGGCGAGTTCATCAAAAACGAACTCATGGTCATTAATTTTTGCCGCCGCTGGCTGAATCGGAGCGGGATGATAGTTTTTCTTTGGGCTTGTTGTCGCCGCCGAGCTGCGCCATGGCTCCGCCCCGCCGCCGGAGATTAGCATATCACGTGACGGAAGCCATCCAATGGCGGAAGGGGCGCGCGCGGCGCTGACCCCGCGGCTCCCGCGTCGGCCTCGATGATGGATGGCGGCGCGCTGGCTCGAGGTGCTCGCACGGCCGACGCACACGCGGCCCAAGATGGACGACGCCGGCTACCTGTCCCCGGTCCGCGCCCGACGTCCGACGCACTGGTCGAGCACCACACAGAACTGCACAGGCCGGCCGCGAGTAATCCACGCCGTGGGCCGACGCCGGTTGCCTGGCGGTCGGGTCGCGAGTGCCGCTCTGCCGTGCCAGGGCGTACGCGCAAAACTTGCCGACTATAGCGCTGCAGCCGGCGGCCCGAGTGTTTGTTGGGGAAAGGGGCGGGCGGGGGAGGGCGCACGGCGAGGAGGACGCCCCGTGGGAGGGCGCTACGGCGACGCGCGCGCGCCGCTCGGGGAAGGGGCAACAAGTTGGGCCCAACTCTCGGCGGCGGCGGTGGCGCTGGCGCCCACAGTGGGGCTCTTTCTCTCTAACTTCTGCAAAAACATTTGGAAAGAAAAATCACACGGCATTACAGATGTTTGTCATTAATTACTCGACAAGTCCGATTTGTTACTTCGGATTATTGAAACATTGAAGTATCACTTAACTCGTACACAGCACAAGCTAATTAGATAAATCAACTCTAAAGTGTGAAAAGCAGTCTCTAGATTTTTATGCCCAAACTTGTTTCAAGCTAATATTTCTAAAAGTTGCTTCCAGCTAAAACGGAAAACAAAATAGCATGTATGAAAAGTAGTTCACTTGAGAGACAGAAATAACAGCCCGGACTTCCTCATTTTTTTTTCTGAGTCCGCTATTTTAGTTACACAGCCAAAAAACAGATGTAATTGAAAAGTTGTGTACTACTTTCTCTTGTTTTCTTTGCTTGTGATTACATTTTCCGCTAAGAAAACACATTTGTTAGAGCTAGAAAATATATATGTTAGAGATTTGCTAGACATTTGAGAGGTAGCATAAGCAGCAACCCCAAAAATGTTTACTAAAAACGGTGTCCAAGGCGAGGTGCCCACTGTAGTTCCCAGTTTGGTGCCAGGGAACGTAACCTGCTATAAAAGGCCATCCAATTTCAAAGTTGTTCCCATGAGAGCGTGGGATGACCATAATATTATGTCGACTGAGACTTCAAAGGTGCGTTCAACACGGTTGTGCCCAATATGTCGACCCAACAGATGGTACCAAGAAACTGCTTGTGGGAGCCAAACCGTTTACTAAGCTTTTCCAATGAAAGCCTGTGACGACAAATTGATGCGTTCAATCCTCGATTCCACTAAAGAGCGAAAAGGTGTCACATTCTTATTGCCCAAGACGTTGAGCCTTACATAAAGCCGCCAGATATTTCGCAAACGCAGTGCGAGAAAACTCGTTTGAGATCAATCCTTGACTAAATGGTTTCCATAAGAGCCAACCGTGTCCAATTTGCGACTCAGACAAGAGAGGTGTGATGCATATCACCAAGAAGATGCATTCAGCACAGCTGTTCTGAGTATGTCGCCCTAGATATTAGCAAGGGACAGTCTATGTATTAATTTGTTCGCAAGAGAAAAATTATGTTACAATAATTTTAGTCAAAGGAGTATTTAATACATTTTTAAAAGTGAGTCTGGCAAGGTGAGGCCCATTCTTCGCAGCATGGTGCTAAGGAACTTCCTGAAAAAATACAACCTATTACTTAGCTTCTTTCCATGAGATCATGTTATAACACTATGATATGCCCACTAAGACTGAGCCGGAAGTACTACCATATATATTGCCAAAACTGGGGTGTTCAACATGAGGCCGCCAATGTGCCGCCAACGTAGTCCTCGGGAACTGTCTCGAGCCCAAACGATGAATAAATGATTTTGGATGGAAGCCTGATGAAAAATTGATGTGTAAAATGAGATACAATTTAGCAAGAAATATATATATTACCAAAAAGGTTCATCAAGCACGATGGTTCTGAATATTTTGCCACTCTGATGCCACGGAACGGCTTACAGAGGACAAAAAAGTTGTCGAAATTTTCATGAAAGCCTGTGATGCAAAAATTTCATGCCCAACAAGAATCAGCCAAAAGGGGTACCCCAGGCAGCGCAGTCCTTTAGGCTAAAAAGTTTTGTTTTGCTTGGGAATTTAGGGGCTTAGCAAACCCCGAAGAAGTCAACAAGTATGCAGCAAGACTTGATGTTCTTTGGCCAGTGTCTGGATATCTAGGCCATTATTTGCAAGACCGGTGCCAAAAGTAGGGTTCGCTGCTAGTAGTTTGTCTGTTCTCCGACATCTTTGGGCCTAAATAGCCAAACAAGTGCAAGATTCAGGCTTCACTGCTCGTTCTTCGGTTAATACGTGGCATCTTCGGCTCACGTCTGGCACATTGGCAATTATGTGGCGAGTCAAAGAAAAGGCACAAAATCGAAAATAAACTCTGGCACTAACAAATTCTTTGGAGTAAACCTGTATTAATCCCAAGTTAGGCCCCCATTATTGCCAAGCTTATGCCAAGTTAGGCGTCTCTTTGGCGTGCCCCCTGGTACCGTACATATTTTCAGAAAGAGGCATGGAAAGTACCATACTATATCCACCAGTTATGAAAGGATTTCCACGAATGCCTGCGATGCCAAAATTGCGTGCCCAACGAGGATCACCAGAGAGGGGCACCGTGCTTATTTTCAAAAATGTAAAACAAACTTTATGCTACTCAATATTTTGCCAACACAATGCCAGGATAGTGCCCATAGGAGATTTAGCTATTATCAAAGGGTTTCCTCAGACGCTTGTGATACGAAATTTGCATGTCCAATAGAATCAGCCAAAGGGAGTGATAAATAGATTTTCAGAAAAGTGCATTAAACATACTGCTGCCTAATATTTTGCCAACAAGGTGCCAAAGAACTGTCCACAGGAGCCCTACCTATTACCAAAGGGTCTTTACGAACACCTGTGATGCAAAACTTCAATGTCCAACGAGACTGTGTCACCACCAAAGCAATTGCATTCATAACGGTAATTTAAAATATTACGCCCACCATAGCCCCCAGGAAACTACCAAAGCCAGCCAGAGTGATTAACTCGTGGTTACTACGAGTGCCTTTGACGTCAATGTAGTGCTCAATAAGAATTAATCGAAAAGGGCGAAACCTATATTACCAAAGGCGTGCATCCTACAGGGTGGTGAATAAAGTAATGCCCAGTATGGTGCCAGTGAAATGTTAATGGAAGCTCAATCAATTACCAGATGAATTTTATGAGCTTCGTATGGCAGAATTATGTACTATGCGACTTAACCGGAAGGGGTGTCATGCGTATTACCAAAGAGGAGCGTCCAGCATGGTGGTCCCCGATATGTCACTCAACATGGTACCAAGGAGCTGCTCACATGAGCCCAACGGACTAGTCAGCGGTTTACGAGTTGCACTGCGATGCTGACCAGGCATTTGTAATGAAAAAGTTAGCCGAATGGGGCACCGTACATATCACCAAAAAGGAGCGTCCAATTCAGTGTTGTGCACAATGGCACCAAGTATTCTACCAGAGCATACACAGCCTACGGAGTCCAAAACGATTACAAAAAGACTTTGATGTAATTTCAAAACGGTCTGCCTAATTCAGTGCTACTCACTTGAGCTCCAAACGAATCCACTAAACAAATTATGCATTTCAGAGCCCAGTGTAGAACCGTCATGACACTGCAATTCATTCATCCGACTAGGTGTCAGTGGATGCCTGTAAAGCTGTGAGCGGTACATACATAACGCACCCACCAACCCAGAGCCGAAAAGTACGTCCGGAACCGTGGTGCCCGATTTGATGTGCAACGAGGTACCGGTATTTGTGAAGAGCTCCACCGGTTACAAGTCTTGAAATAAGGTCAATGGTTGCCGTCACCAAACCTCCGCCTGATATGAAGACGCTACCTTTAATATAGCGTCGGATAGAAGGGTGCCAGATGTGCTACCAAAAAGGCCCCTCGACTTTCTAGTGCCCAAGGTGGTAAACCATTCTATAGAGTGAACAGGAAGGAATCCGTGCCTAGTTTACGGAGCGGTGTTGAGTCCTGGATAGAAACAAATATTTTGAAAAATGTGCCAGGCACCAATGCGGTGCTAGCACAATTTGCGAATTTGCAGTATGGTAGCCCACGTGCTACCAAATTGCATTGACCTTGCATGATGCAGATCAATGCTTTACTACCATCTAGTGGTTTATTGTGGATTGGCTCGTCGGTCGGCTCCTCTGGCAGAGGGAGCGATGGATCCAAGGTCTGGCGTTCGTGCGCCGATCGCCGGCGTCGCCTGCCTGTAGTCGTATAGCATCTTACCTTTTCAACGGCTTCCTGAAGTGTATAGCTTTTTACAGATGAAGATGTAGCCTTTGAGAAAGGGGAGAGGAAATGCCTCGAAGGGTACGTTGTTTTTGCCGACCAACAACTACCAGACGCGTTCCAACGATCGAGGAACCCAAGGCCGAGATGCCGTCGGCTCTGAACCTATACAGCAGCGGCGAGGACGGAGCTACGTTGCCCAAGTGAAATTCTCCCTTTCACAGCGCTTCGTCTGCCCCTCTCCCTCAATTGCGCGCCATATAACATTAACACATCTGACGTGGAACTGGAGGTGGTGCCATTAGAGGTGCAAAATGTTGCACGGCCTGATATTAGGATCTATTTTGTTTTTCTTTTCATGTGATAACCAAGTTTGTAGTTTAAATTACGCTCATTACAACACTAAGATAAAAACAAAATGATACCAACTCGGGAACCCAAATGTGTTGCGCTTTCTAAAGGTGCTGAAGTTCACGTCTCGTTATGTGTGACCAAGACAGGCGACTGTAGTTTGATGGCCGCATACTTCGGAGCTCTAACGTCGAATAACCGGCGTTACCGCGCGAATATAATCCCCCGTGGGCCCCATTCTGTACCTCGGTGATGATGATGCCAGAAGAAGACGAAATGGACTCACCCCCAAGTTGGTTCGTCACAATATGCAAACCTCCGTTCTCCAGAGAGATCGTTCATAATGTGAGGCGTCCATAATAACAAATCAGGGCCAAGATCATAAATATTAGACAACAAGCGCACACTCCAAGAAACCAAAAACGAAAATAGACGTTTTTGGTTTCCTTTCGTTCTAAGACACGAGGGTTCCGCATCTGGTGTGCGGGACGCAAAAATAATAACACATTTCAACCTGGAATGTGCCAGAAAATAAAGGAGAGGCAAACAAGAACGTGTGACAATCAAGCATTTTGTGTGAACACCTTCTAGCGGCGTGGAGATGTCAAAACGGTGTTTTAACGCGTATCAGAAGTTACGAAATTAAGATGACTGAACCCTTGCGGAAAAGGTGTATACTTTC